GCATTGCGCAGATGCGTCGATAACTGCGCCCGATACAAGTTGCGCTTGGAAAGCGGCAGGCTCTCAGCACGTCTACGAAGGTCAAGTACACGGATGCGTATGCTCTGTCCAAGCTGTGGTATAACGTTTGTGTGTGGGAGCCTGTTAGCAACAAGATGCATGCGCGCATTGCTTGCGCGCAAGCCGCGGCCTACCGTGCCGCTCTCGGCCTCCCCTTAGCTGCCAATGCTGAGCTCAGGATCCCTCACAAGTCTGTTCTACGAACTGCTAATAGACTTGACCACCGAACGGTGATGCGGATAGCGCGCCTCAGGTATCTTCCCAGAGTGCTGGGTTCTGCCCCAGCTGGGCTAAGAGTGGCCTTGGACTGTCTGTGGGATGTGCAAGACTCGTGGGTCGCTATCTTGAGGCAAGACTTGGAGTGGCTGAATAGTGTGGTCAACAAGCTTGATGTGCCCCAATCGGGGTCGGCGGACGACTGGATTCAATTGGCCAGGTCTGCCAGGCGTCACTTTCTTGCTAAGGTTACGGAAGCTGCGCGCAGACAGCTCTTTCTCCAGCACCAGATGCAGCTTGCTCGAGAGCTTCAAAACTCGGCGGCCCACTTAGGCGTTACGGTCCCTGGTGCTGGGCCTGAGGGCCCGAGTCAAACTGAAACGCCGAGGGTTTACTTTTGCTACGAGTGCGGCTTTACCTCCAGTACGGCCAGAGGGCTGGCGGTCCATCGCAACAAGTTTCACAAATATGCTCGAGACCCGTCCTTGTGGGCGGTCGGATCGCTTTGTCAGATTTGTTTAACGGAATTCCACACTCGAGGGAGACTCTTTAAACACCTTAAACAGCAAGTGGGATGCTGTCAAGCTTGGGCCTGTCTGGGACGTGCGGTGGACCAAGCGGAGCTCGAGCAGAGCATCCGCGAGAGTGCGCTGACTCAGAAGAATAACCGCAAGGGGGGCAAGCGTGAGCATTTTGTGGGAAAAGCTGCCTACCGAGTGCCAGGCCCACCCTTAGCACTTAAGCTCGATCTTGGGAGAGGAGTTGCTGTGGATGCTCCTACTGTGGCTGTCGAGGCCCCTGTTTGTGTTGCGCCAGCTGCTCTGACCCATGCTGAGAGCTTTGCTTCAGTTTTTTGATCGTTGGTGAGGGGATGCTGAGTGGCGATTTCCACCAAGTGCTCACCACGATTCTGTCACGGAGAGGAGTGCAGATAGCCATTCAGCATTTCTCGCACTCTCAGTGGACTGAGGGGCTGACCGCCCATTGGACTGAAAAAGTTTCCCAGGGCCGCGTTGCGGGGGGCTGTTTTTTCCTCCCGAGGTTCGGAGTGAGAGCGGAACGGGCTCTTAGAGATTCCGAGTTTCCCTGGGGGAGACCCTTTGCCAATTCTAGGCAGCGTGATCGCCTCATGCAGGAAAACGTGGTGATGAGAGGGGCCTTGAGACTGGCGGTGTTTGCGCAGGCCCACGGAGTTCCATGGGCCACCCTGTCGGAGCAGAAAATTGGGCATCTGCTCGAGTTTGACAGCTTCCCCTTTCTTGATGCCGTTGCTGCCAGCCCTGCCGCCAGTGCTATCAGGTTCGAGAGGTGCGCTGTCTCAGGTGGCGCGGAGTGGGACCCGATCGGCATCGTGGCATCGTGGATGCCGAGTCTCCGCCCGAGGGTTGAGAGTGAGGGAGGATGGAGGTGCATGGGCGATCATGTGCATTGCATGTCTCAGGGCAACTGTGGGTGTATTAGTGTTACGTTGCCCGCTCCTGTGTCGACCTTGATTGCCCTCTCCTTTTGCGATGTTTGGGACAGGTGTATGTTACGGCAGTTGTGTGAGGGGGAATTTGAACTTCCTGTGGGTGCGGAGGCTCTTGGTCCTCTCGATCCGTATCTGTTGTAACCTGTGGCCCAGAGGCTCTCAATGCTGGCAGGTGTTGGTAAGGGACCCCTGATGTCACAACAGCTGCTGCCTGCGTCGTGCTCTTTTTGTCTCCTTCCCCCTTTTTAATTCCAGAAGAGGCTGCGAACTGCATGGGCCTTTAGTCTGCGAGCGAGCGAGCGAGCGAGCGAGCGAGCGAGCGAGGAGGAGGAGGAGGAGGAGGAGGAGGAGGAGGAGGAGGAGGAGGAGGAGGAGGAGAGGAAAAAGGAGGAGGAGGAGGAGGAGGAGGAGGAGGAGGAGGAGGAGGAGGAGGAGGAGGAGGAGGAGGGGGAGAGGAGGAGGAGGAGGAGGAGGAGGCGGAGGAGGACAAGGGGGGAGGCATGCCAGACCGCGCGGGCATTCCGAAGATCCATGCCGGCTGCGCCGGTGGGGCCGTGCCCCTCCAAACACTCCGCCTCGAGCACGAATGCCGCGCGCCCCTCCAGGAGGAGGGGCAACGGTTTCGGTTCACCCAAGAGGGGGTCCAGCTGAAAGGGGCTGGCGCAACACACACACACCTAAATATATGTATATGTGTATGTATGTACAGAGATGTATATGTATATGCATATATATATATATATGTGGGCCAACTGTGTTGCGAATGTCTTGCGCCGGAGAATTGTGCTGCATTGTGCTGCAACTTGTGTATTGCCCGCGAACGCCCAGCCATACATCTGCGCACTGGTATACATACCTATCTATCTATCTATCTATCTATATATATATATATATCTATATCTATCTATGTATATCTATATATGTATATCTATCTATCTATCTATATATATCTATCTATATATCTATCTATATATCTATATATTTCTATATATCTATCTATCTAGCTATCTATCTATCTATCTATCTACATATCGATATATCAATCACTATATATATATATATCTATATCTACCCATCTATCTATCTATCTATATCTATCTATCTATCTATCTATCTATCTATCTATCTAACTATCGATCTATCTATCTATCTATCTATCTATCTATCTATCTATCTATATGTGTATAAATGTGTACGTATAAGCATCTATGCAACTATATGTATGTATATATCTATATACACACTGCACGCCCCAAACCTGGTGCAATCACAAGACTCTAGTTAGTGCACCAGGTATATTGCACCACCCCCTTTTCGCTGGACCCCCTCTTGGGCCAACCAAAGCGATCTGGGGGGGACCGACACAGTGGGCACCGACCTGGAATCAGCGATACGCCGCCGCTGGGTCGGCGATATCCCCCCCTATCTTGAACCCGCACCTTCCTGGGCAGGTTTGGGCTATCGGGCCTCTATCGGCGATCAATGGGCGACTGGGGGTCGACGCGCCGCCCCCGTGCACATCCCTCCCGTATCGTTGGCCCTGACAGGAGCGCCGCGCCGGACCACGCGGGCCATCCGAAAGCCGTGCTGCCACTCTTCGGGACCGCGCCCCTCTCTCGGCCCCGCCCGGCTGCTTCCCCCAGGGTCCTCCCGACTGCGCGGGCCATGCGGAGCCAGTGGGTGGGAAGGTCACGAACCCTGATCAATAGCCCGGTGTTCGTGTAGCCCGCGCGGTTCGACGAGGTCTCCCTGGGAGGGGGGGGCGTGGTACTGGTGGGGCTGGTGGAGAGGGAAGCGTACGGGCCCTGACAAATAACCTGCTGTTCGCGTAGCACGCGCGGTCCGTCGCGGCCTCCCTGGGGGGGGAAGCGTGGTACTGATGGGGCTGGTGGAATGGGAAGCGCATGAGCCCTGAAAAAAACCTAGTGTTCCCATAGCCGGCATGGAACGCTGTCGGGTACTGGCAGGGCTCCCTGAGTTGGTCAAGGGTGAAACTGGTGGGGAATCGTGGAGCGGGCGCCGTGGAGTGGTGGAAATGGCACGATCAGCACATGCAGGAGGAGTGTGTAAAAGGGGAGGAGGAGGAGGAGGAGGAGGAGGAGGAGGAGGAGGAGGAGGAGGAGGAGGAGGAGGAGGAGGAGGAGGAGGAGAGGAGGAGGAGGAGGAGGAGGAGGAGAGGAGGAGGAGGGAGGAGGGAGGAGGAGGAGGGAGGAGGAGGAGGAGGGAGGAGGAGGGGGAGGAGGGGCGGAGGGAGGAGCCCATGTCCCCCCCGCCCCCGCCCCCCCCCCCTCCCCCCCCCCCCGAAACCTTCGATCCTCGACCCGCTCGTGGCGCCTCAGATGCCACGCGCGGCGAAACATCTCCACTTCCACGCCCTCGCGTCCTGGACGCTGGGGCGTGGGATCCCGCGGGTGCGCGGTCGCGCGGATGCGTCCCGCGCGTGGGCATCCGCGACGAGAACGCCGCGCATGCGTGGGGTCGCGGCCCGGTTTCCCCGCCCGCGAGGCCGTGGATGTGGCTAGCGCGCGGGCGACACATCTCGACGTCGGCGCTGTTTGCAGGGGCGCGGGCGGGGAATGCGAGGGTATGGGGCTCCCCCAGGGCCCCAGATCTGGCACACATCGGGCTCGCTTACCCGAATCGCCGACCGCGACATCGCCACATAGGGGGCCCAGCTCGGGGGGGCGGGGAGACCATCGAGCTCGAATCGGCGATACATGAATGGGTGGCGGGCCACGGATAGCGACTCCACACGGTCCTTGGCGGGGTGGGGCGATCGGGCTCCTAGAGGCGAGGAGTGGGTGATTGGGGGCCGATGCATCTCACCCCCCTGAGCCCATCACCCCTGGTGTTGCCCCTTGGTTTTCGACCCATAATTCAACTCTCCGGCGGCCGTTCGGGACGATCCAGGCACTCCCAGAAGGTTCCCGGCGAGGCGCAGCTGCTGGAGAGCACCCCGAGGCCGGGAAGCCGACGAGAACCCACGAAATCGTCCGAAGGCCTAGGAACATATAGCGGACTTCGGAAACCCTGAACCCAAAAACGTTTTCATCCCTTGGAGGCCTTTCTATATTTCCGCCTCCGGCGGAGGCGGCCTCGCTTTACTTCCACCGACCTCCCGCCGCCCTTCCGCCGCCTTCCGCGGCGGAAGAGATGACAACTCCTCCGGTCCTCGCAGGCAAGGCCTTGTTTTGGAACGCCTCATGTGCTGACATGCGCTTCCCGCTCGTGGAGATGTCCGGGTGCGCGGCGCCTCTGCGAGGAGGAAGCAGGGCGGCACGAGGGCGTCCACGGCCGCGGTGCACAGGAACGCCATGGCCCGCGGCAGCTCGGGCGCGCGATCGGCGGCTCCGTCGATGGCCCCCCCCGGAGGCCTCCGAGAGGGGCTCGGAGCAGATGGGGTCGGAGGATCGCGCCGCACCGCCGATGCATCATCGCCGAGGTGTCGGCGATGCGTCGGCGACGTCGGCCACTCATCGCCGCCGTCGGCGTGGCGAAGCTCGGGAGCCGCATCGAGCCGCATCGCCGGTGCGTCGGCGATGCGGCGCGATCCTCCGACCATCTCTGCTCCGACCCCCTCTGGACGGCCTGGCCCCCGGCAGGCGGTGCGGCGATCACGCCGTGCAGTGTCTCGCCAACGCTCGGACGTCCATTCCCTGTGTTTTTTTCGGTTTCGTGCGTGTTTTTTTCGCCAAATGGGCAGGGGACATGTCGACCCCGGGGGCCCAGGCTCCGCGGGGTCTTCGAGAGAGGGCCAGACATCGTGGGCCCAGCCCTGGGATGTACGATAGGGGGGCGCCCGTCCTCGCTGGGGGGTGCGTCCGACTCGCCCCCTCGGGGTGAATCCAAAGTTCCCCCCTCTTCTGAGCGGCCAAGCTTTTCGAGCGGACTCGGGCATTGGGCTTAGGTCGGGCATGTCCCCCTACAGGCGGATTTTGGGCGAAAACTTAAAGATAATCGAAAAATCGTGCCCAGACTAGGTTGTGCCTATTTTTGAATATCCCTGCTGTAGAGGGACAGGCCCGACTTACCAAGGGGGGGGAAAAACCGCTTGGGATCCGAGGTCACCGCGCTGTCTGTCACCGCACGTGAGGCCCCACGAGGCGATGCTCTGGCTCAGCGCTCCTGGGGCGCGGGGGGCAGGCTTGCAGGCGGCGGCGCGAGCCTTCTCGGGCCCCAAGCTGGGACGGCGAGGGGAAGTGGGCGCGAGCAGCCGGAGGAGGAAGAGAAGGAGGAAGAGGTGGAGGTGGAGGGGGAGGAGGACCAGTTCAAACCTAGAGTCCACCCTCCCTCCAAGCTCCCTCTGCATAGGCCCCTGCAAGGGTTCATCCACTGAAGGAAGTGCCCCGTCGGGGGGCAACCGTGTGCAACTCTTGAACCGTGCTGTCAATTAGGCGCCAAAAACACAAATCTCAGGATTTCAACACCATGGGTCAACCTGACTGTTGCTTCTTGACGATCCTGAATCGCACCAGAACAACATGCCATGGACTTCAACACCACGAATCCACATAATTGTTGCGCCCTGACAGTGCTGAACCGTTCCGGAACACCATATCTGACACGTTAGCCATGAGAGCCCGTTGAACTGCTGCAATTCTTGAAAAACGAATATGCGCGGCGCTACATCGAAAACCATACGTTGAAAGGAACCGCCCTGAATCCGCGAATCTATTGCAATTTTTCCAAACTGTCCTGGTGTTGGGACATCGTTTTGAAGAGACGGTACGCCGCATCTTCCTCCTCCTCCTCCTCCTCTCCTCCTCCTCCTCCTCCTCCTGCACATCCCTCACACCTTTCGTGACCCCCAAAATGAAGGAGCTCCACCAAAGGCCCCGGTGGTGGTGTTCGCATGCGTGTCCCCCGCCCGGTACATCTTTTCGTGGTCCCATAAGGGAGCTCCACCGAAGGCCCCACTAGCGGTGTTTACATGTGTCTCCCCCACCCCGTACAACGTTTCGTGGCCACATACGAGGAGCTCCACCGAAGGCCCCAGTGGCAGTGGTCGCATGCGTTTCCCCCGCCCAGTACAGCGTTTCGTAGCCCCATAGGGAGCTCCACAGAAGGCCCCAGTGGAGGTGTTCGCATGCGTTTCTCCCGCCCAGTACAACGCTTCGTAGCCCCATAGGGAGCTCCACCAAAGGCTTCAGTGGCGGTGTTCGCATGTGTTTCCTCCCAACCAGCACAGCTCCCTTTGGCCCCACAGGGAGCTCCACCCAAGGCTTCAGTGGCGGCGTTCGCATGCGTCTTCCCCACCCAGTACACCGCTTCATGCCACATTGGTGATGATGATGTCAATGCTAATGCTGATGATGCTGGTGATGATTCTGATGCTGCTGGTGATGATGCTGCTGTTGATGATGAAGAATATGACTATGCTGGTGATGACGATGATGATGGTTACGCTTCTGCTGATGATGATGTTGCTGATGATGATGATGCTGAGGATGAGGCTCAGTATGCTAATGATGGTGAAGAGGAGGAGGAGGAGGAGGAGGAGATGGAGGAAGAAGAAAAGGATGAGGTTGAGGTTGAAGATGGTGATGGGGAGGTGGGGAGGGGCTCGATGATGAGTTTGATGATGATGATGATGAGGAGGAGGAGGAGGGTAAAGATGACGATCACGGAGCAGTTTGTGATGGTGGTGGGATGCAGGGAGGGAGGGAGGAGGGAGGGTTCGGCAATTCCCGTCCCGCCTCGTATTGTTCCCCCGGGTGGGCGAGGCATGAGGCATGCTTTTCTAATAATAGAATGTCGCAGGGAAGCGGGCGAAAGTGACGCGAAACCTTGCGCTCAGAAACCTCGTCTCAAGAGGAGGAGTGGGAGGATTGAGGATGAGGACCATGTTGATGATGACGATGCTACCGACGACGATGATCATGATGATGATGATACTGATCATGATGATGATGACAGAATTGTGAGGATGATGATGATGGTACAGGTGATGATGTTGATGATGATTGTGATGGCGAGAATCATGATGATGATGCTGGTGAACATCATGTTGCTGATGATTCGTATATTCCTGGTGATGATGATGAGGAGGAGGTGGAGGATGAGGATGAGGATGAGGATGATGACGATGGTGATGATGGTGATGATGGCGATGATGATGATGATGATGAGGATGAGGATGAGGATGATGAGGATGAGGATGAGGATGAGGATGATGATGATGATGATGATGATTATGATGATGATGATGATGGTGGTGGTGATGATGATGATGATGATGATGATGATGATGATGGTGGTGGTGGTGATGATGATGATGATGATGATGATGATGATGATGATGATGATGATGATGATGATGATGATGATGATGATGATGATGATGATGATGGCGACGAGGACCAGGAGGAGGAGGAGGAGGAGGAGGAGGAGGAGGAGGAGGATGTTGGTGATGCTCAGGCTGATGATTCATATCATATCTAGTCGCCTTCGACCTATCTCGTCGCCGTGCCCGGATTGTGGGTCAGAGGCCTCTTGGTTGGTTGTTTGGATCTCGTGGGAAGCTTCTTGGGAGCCTCTTGGAGGCACTTGTGAGGCTTGCTAGAGCCCGATAGGGCCCCCTCGGAGGCCGTTCGAGGGCTCCTTCTGGGGCCTTTGGGCGGCGTCCTGGGGCCTCCTGGGGGCCTCTTCGAGGCCCGCCGGCGGTCTCGGGGGGCCTCGTGGGCACGCCTGGGCGCCTGCTGGGCCGTCTCGGGGCCCTCCTGGGGCCATCTCGGGTCCACCTTGTGGGCCCTCTTGGGCCGATCTCGGGGGCGACCTCGGGGGCGCCTCCTTGGGCCGCCTCGGACGGTGTGGGGGCCGATACGGCGAACCTTCTAAACGTGTGCTCTCCTCCTCCTCCGACTCCTCCTCCGCTTCCGCCTGGGATTTGCAGCACTGCAAAAGTGCAGCGGGCAAATCGCGCTCCTACAGCGGACAAGCGCTCGTAGACGGACGGTGCGTGTACTTATTTCTATGTACCGTTTACATATCGCATGGTTTGCGATAGCGCCAGTCAAGATGCCTTCGTTCAATGATTGGGTGCAGCAGCTTACCATGAGTCGCGTCCAGTTGTCTCTTGAAGCTTGGCCCTGTGTCTTGATCGCACACTATTCCAATCTTGCGCCAAAGACATAAGTGTGAGCCGGACCCGCAGAGTTGAGTTGAGAGACAGTGTAACCTCACGATGGTTTACGAGGATACACCAGGTAAGGTTCAGCCACGCCGTTCAACATAATTATCACAGGCCAGCTCGTGGAGTTCAGCTTAAAACGAGCCTTGGAGGCCCTCTTGGCAGTGCTCGTGACATCGCCACGGCAGACAACAAATGCGCAATTGCCAAAGGTCGCACAAGCTTAATTGACACGGGGCTACAATCGGAAGGCATCTTACTGTTTTGCCCAGGCCTACATAAGAATACAAGTGGGTTTCATGAGGCACCCATCCGTTTTGACTCCGATTGTACCTCGTGTGGTCCCCCATTCGAAACCCCACGGGACCCAACGGTAATTGCACTACAGGGATACAATATGATTCATGGAGGATTCCACGAACAAGGCACCCAAGGGAAATTCATATGATAAGAGTCAAGGAAGGATCAATACGATAGCCCAGTAGGACCCCAATGGGAAGGAAGCTTTGGGTTCCAATCGGCTTCCGAGAGGATGTGAATAGGAATCCAATAGGTTGGACCCGAATAGATGCCAAGAGAACCCCCATCGGAACCCGATCGGATTTCAGTGGAAAAGATACGATTGTATCCACTTTGGGGTCAAAGCGGAAAAAACAATAGGATCCCCATTGGATCCCGATAAGACCCCAATTTGAATCCAGTAGTCGTCTTCCAATCCAATGGTAGGATGTCGTCAGGTTCCCGTTAAAGAGGACTCTGATTGCATTCCAACAAGGTCGCTTTTGGGTCCCATAAGGAACTCAAATATGATTCCACTTGGAAGGGATGTCCTTCAAATCCAACAGGGCTACCACTACGAGGATAACATAAATTAAAACCCCGTCTGGTTGAATCCCCGGCAAGAAATGTCCCCAGTCTCCATGCGGTAACCGTAAGGACTCGCATGGGAACTCTGTTCTCAAACATTTGTTCGCATTTGGCATAAAAGAATTAGAGCAAATGCCGGGGACTGAACCCGTCTGCTGGGGATTGAACTTGTTCTTGGTCGTTGAGCCTTTCTGTCGGGGATGAAAACCTTCTGCCGGGGGTTGAACTCATCGCGGGCAGCTATGACCCGGAAACCATGAGGCAACATTACGAGGCGGTGGCCCAGAACTTTCGCTGCAAAGCAATATTCCGACGGTTGGGATACGCACAAAGAGTCGTCTCCTCAGCTTGCATGAGAGTCGTCGTCTCCGTCGTCATTGTGTTTGTGATTCTCGTGGCTGGGAAGGAAGAGGAGGATGGGGCAGGAGGTGGAGGAAGAGGAGCAGGAGATGGAGAAGCACCACAGGATGACACATCTACGTTCTGCAGCGTCAGAAGCCAAGAAACGTGCCGACGTGTCAAGATTGTGGACCACCGTGGCGCAACGTCGACCAGGTCACAAGTCGAGAACAATCACTGCATGTCACGAGTGCGGCCCAGTGGATACGTGCCACAGCACGACCCAGCGGAAGCGCACGAATGTTCCCCAGTGGATGCAACATACGCGCGGAAGCACGAGCCAGAGGAATCGAATCGAAGCACGGGAGCGCCCCAAGATGTTGGGGAGGTGTTGACGGCTCGATGGCGATAGTGATGATGTTGTTGATGATGGTGGGGACGATGCCCGTGATCGTGATAGTGGTGATGATCGGGGACGCGGGGTATCACGATGATGGTGATGATGGTACTGTTGATGCTGATGGTGATGATGATTAGTATGATGATGATGGTGATGATGACGATGATGGTGCTGGTGATGATGGTGGATGTGTTGGTGCTGGTGCTGGTGCTGGTGATGATGACGATGATGATGATGGTGATGATGCCAACGATGGTGACGATGGTGATAACGATGGTGCTGGTGATGGTGGTGATGCTGTTGATGATGGTACTGATGATGATGGTGGTGGTGATGGTGATGGTGATGATGATGGTGATGTTGGTGGTTATGATGATGCTGATGATGGTGATAAAGATGGTGATGACGATTATCATGGTAATGATGGTGATGATGACAATGATGATGATGATGATGATGATGATGATGATGATGATGATGATGATGATGATGATGATGATCAAGATGAACATGATGATGGTGCATGTGATGATAATGGTGATGAAATGAGTGAGGCCCCCATTCCGCTCGACACTTCCTCGAACTGTAGGCGGCCAGAGGTAAGCAAATTCTTGTTTCTGTTACTGGGAGCCACATGGCCGCCACGGATCAAAAGCAGAAGGTCGGGGCCCTACAGGGGAGACCCCCGCGCGCGACATCCTCACAATGCGTTCGTGGATGAGGCTCCCACTCGAAACTTCCTCGAGATTCCGGCGGCCAAGTCTCCAGTACTTGTTTGCTTCCCGAATCCCGATGGCCGTCTCGGATGAGAAATATAAGGTGGGGGTCGTATAGGGGAGGCTCCGGCTTGAGACCTCCTTGCAATTTTCTCGCAGACGAGGCTTGCGATCGAGACATCCGCACAATGTGCCCATGAGTGGTGATCGTGATGTTGATGCTGATGATGATGGGGTGATGTTGCTGAGATTGATGCTGATGAAGATGAAAATGAAGATGATCGTGATCGTGATGATGACCAAGACAGACGGGGATGTTGATGACGAGTAGAGGGAGATGGTGGGTAGTGGTATTGATAGTGATGTTGATGATGCTGTTCATGACAGCGGTGGTGATGGGCATGATGAAGATCATTATTTCATGATCATGATCATGACCATGATTACGATGATCATGATGGCGACGACTGACAATGGCATGGTGATGACGACGATGAGGAGCATTCCTGCTCGAGGGTGCGCAAGGAAAACATAATCCAATTTAGGATGCCAGGGAAACAACAGTAGGCGTGTGCCTGTTGGGGTCTTTATCGTGCCCCTCGACCGTGGAAAAGATAGTCGGGATGAAATCCGTGCCACTGAAAGGGGTCTACATTTCCCAGTGCCCACGAATGAAATCACAAGGTCGGAGGTGTGGGAAGGCGGAATGGACGAGGAGAAGGCGGAGGAGGAGGAGGAGGAGGAGGAGGAAGAGATAAGGAGGAGGAGTAGGAGGAGGCGGAGGAGGAGGAGAAGGAGGTTCCCGCTTCAGCGGCGCGCGCATTCCTTCTACAGTTGTTTTCCAACTTTTGACGAATGGAGGGCGGGTGGTCTTCAGCACATTCGCTTTGAACAGTTGCAAGAGCTTCACTGACTGAGGGCGGGTCGTTTTCAAAATGTGGCTCTCGCCTTAGCGCCGCACACATTCGCTTCAAACTATCCTGGCGAAGGACCGAGTCATATGCAGTTGGGAGTATCGCCGTTGTGGGTATTGCCTTCGGTGGATCTCTTTATGGGGCCACGAAGCGTGTGAAGGGTATGCCGAAATGGGGCAGGGACGCATGCGGGTGCAGCCATTGGGGCCGTCGGTGGTGCTCCACGTGGGGCCACGAAACGGGCGAGGGTGTGCCAGCCTGGAAGGGGGGAGCGCCATGCGGACGTCGCCCCTGGGGCCTTCGGTGGAGCTTCCTATGGGGTCACGAATCGCTATACTGAGTGGGGGGGGGGGGCGTATGCGAACACCGCCACTGGGGCCATCGGTGGAGCTCCCGATGGGGCCACGAAGCGCTGTACTGGGTGTGGGAGGCGCATGCGAGCACCGCCATGGAGGCCTTCGGTGGAGCTCCCTATGGGGCCACGAAGCGTTCTACTGGGTTGGGGGGACGCATGCGAAAACCGCCACTGGGGCCTTCTGTGGAGCTCCATTTGGGGCTGGGAAGCGCTGTATTGGGGGGGGGGAAACGCAGACGAACCATCACCATCACCAGCATCACTATCATCATGGTCATCACGATGATCAACATCATCATCATCATCATCATCATCATCATCATCATCACCATCATCATCATTATCGTCATTATCATCATCACCACTAACATCATCAGCAGCAGCATCGGCATTACCCTCATCATCAGCAGCATCACCATCACCACCATCACCATCAGCATCATCATTATCATCAGCATCGTTATCACCTTTATTATTATTATTATCACCATGACCATCACCATCAACATCATCATCATTAGTCTTATTTTGAGTATTCGTATTACTACTTTTATTATTACTACGACGATTATCATCATCCGCAGCATCATCAGCAGTATCAGCATCACCATCACCATCATCATCATCGGCATCATCATTATCACCATCATCATCATCATCATCATCATCACCATCATCATCATCATCACCATCATCATCATCATCAGCAACCACATGATGTTCATCATCACCATAATCATCATCATCCTCTGCGGAGGCCTCCTGGAAGGCCCAAGAGGCCTCTCGGGAGGGCCAACAGGCCTCTCGGGAGGTTCACAGAAGTCTTCCTAGGCCCAAAGGGCCTCGCATGAGGCCCAAGAGGCTCAAACCCACCAGGTCTCTCGGAAAGCCCCAGAGGCCTCTCGGAAAGCTCAAGGGGTCTCTCGGACGGCCCAAGAAGCCCCTTGGGTCCAAGAGGCCTCTCGGGAGACCCCCAAAAGTTTCCCGGGAGACCCAACGGGCCTTTCGGGAGGCCCGAGAGGCCTGTCGGGATGCCCTCGAGGTCTCTCGGAAAGCCCTGGCAAGCACGGAAGGCGCAAGCCCTCCGAGAGGCCCAAGAGGCTCCTCTCACGGCCCAGGAAGCGGAAGGCCCAGGAGGCGTCTCGCGGAAGGCCAACGAAACGCCTATCGGAAGGCCCACCCGGAAAGCCCAGAGGGCGTCCCGGAAGGCCCAAGGGGTCTCTCGGAATCTTTGCTTCGGAGGGCCCGGGAGGTCTCTCAGGAGGCCCAAGGCGCTTCTCGGAAGGCCCAGCAAGCCTTTCGGGAGGCTCGGGAGATCAGGAGTCCTCTCGTGAGGCCCAAAAGGCCTCTCGGGAGGCCAAATCGACCGATCGGAAGGCCCAAGAAGTCTCTAGGAAAGCCCACGAGGTCTCTCGGGAGGCCCAAGAGACTTCCCGGAATGCCCAAGACATGACTCAGAAGGCCCAAGGAGCGTCTCGGACGGCCCAAGAAGCCTCCCAGGAGGCCCACGATGCCTGTCGGGAGGCCCAAGATGCCTCTCGAAAAGCCTCGGCGGCCCCCCGGAAGATCCCAGGAGGCCTCTCGGGAGGCCCGAGAAGCCTCTCGGCTCTCGGCATGCCAAGAGGACCGATGGGCCCCTCGGGAAGCCCTTGGAGAAGCCCTCTGGGCGGCCCATGGAGGCCACCCGGGAGGCCCACGGAGCTCCTCGGCAGGCCCCAAGGGGGGTCTCGCGAGAGGCCCCGGGGAGGGCTCTCGGGAGGCCCAGGAGGCCCCGCGGCAGGCCCAAGAGGCCTCTCGGGAGGCTCAAGGCGCCCCCCGGGGGGCCCAGAGAAGAAAGCTCTCGAGAGGCCCAAGAGGCCTCTCGGGAAGCCCAAGAGGCCTGCCGAGAGACCCCCGCGGCCTCTCGGGAGTCCCTAGAGGTCTGTCGACAGGCCTAGGAAGCGTGCCATCAACACTGAGGACATCATGAATTTGGCCCTCGAGGGTTGCGCCCCGCAACTGCCAGAGAGCACCCCGAGGCTGGAAAGCCGCCGAGAATTGGCGAAAACGTCCGAAAACCTTGAAGAACCTCGAACCTCGAGCAGTTCCTGCCCCCCCTGAGACCCAGACCCCAGACGTCATGATTTTTTCATAACGCGACCCCCAAAGGTAGAGACCCTTTCCCCATGACCGGTTTTTCACCCCGAGTAGTTTTTTGACGCTCCCGAGGCCCGGTGAGGGCCCCCGGAGGCCGAAAAAGAAGGAAAACCTTTCGTCGTGATTTTTTCATGACTCGAGGGGGTCTGGGGACCTATCACCTCCTGTTCCTCCTCTGCCGCCGCCGCCGCCGCGGTCGGGATGCGCCGCGGCCCTCCGCCGCAACGCCGATTGCCGGCCGGCCAGTCCGAGACCCGCCCCGCCTCGACAGCACCGACGCCACGTCCGAGGCCGTCACTACCGGTTTCGCGGCGGCGTCTAGCTGGTCGGGGTCGCTGTCGCCTGCGGGCCCAGACCTCCTCGCTCCCTCTGTGAGGCAGCCTCAGGAGACGGGGAGCACTGCCGAAGCGGCCGGAGGGCTGCGGGAGCAGGAAGAGGCGCGAGGCTGGCGAAGGACGTGCGAAGAGGAGCTGGTGAGAGGAAGAAGAGGAGGGAGGAGCCAAGCGGCCGGTTCGGGCCGTCCGAAGAGGAGCCTCCCGGAGGCGGGCGACGGACGAAAAATGGGAGGGAAAACTGGTGCTGGGCCGACGGCGGGCGACCGACGCCAGAAGAGGAGCGGGCCCGAGGAGGAAGCAACCGGTGCCTGAGGATGAAGAGGGAGAAGTGGACGAGGAGGAAGAGGAGGAAGGCGACAAGCAAGGAGGGAGGCTGAGGCGGGCGAGGGCGAGGATGAAAAGGTAGAAGAAGGCGACAAGCAAGGAGGAAGGGAGGTTGAGGACGGCGAGGGTGTGGAGGAGATCAGAGGGTGTGAGGAGGGCGAGGAAGAGCTGGCGGAGGCGGATAAGGTGGTTTCGGCCCCAAACGGCATTTTTTCAAAGAAGGGTGCCTGCTTCAATATGTCATGAGCTAGGTCCTGATGGTCTTGGCATTTCCGTTTGGATGCATGCATTATATGTATATATATATATATATATATATATATATATATGTATGTATATATATATATACATAGAACCCCCAGGCGGAGGATGGATGCGGGTGGGCTTCATCCACCTTGTCCCGAATTCGCACACATGGCAATTCACAGACTGATGGCCTCGACGCTTACAGAGCTGAAGCATACGAGGCGCTGACCAGATCATCGACAAGGCAGGGTTCTCGAGATATATAAGAACCCCACATCGCACGCACATATCTATAATCCGACAGCTGGAAAAATGTGGCGTTACCAACGCAAAACGGCCCTGCTCGGCGGGCAAGAGCTCGGACGAGGGGACATCCATGGGACAGGCGAGCGAGCGCAATGGATGTCGCAAAACCCTGCTCCACGACGTACATGGGGCTCCCAAGAAAACGCCCGAGATGCAACCGCGGGAAATCCATCCTCGGATCAACTTTTCAAACGTGCGGCAGAAGTGATATTCCCCTGCCGGGTGTTTTAAGATCGAGATCAAAAGCAGAAGCTCCGAGGCCCCGAAAAGGCCTTTGACAAAGTTCTTGACCAGGCAAAAAGTGCGAGAAACACACACGGTAATGAGACGGATTGTGGGGCCCTCTTCCTCTATTCAACTCTTGTTTGAATCGGCGCTGCAAGTGGGCTCGGATTTCAGAAGAGCTAGGAGAGTAGAGAGGCTTCACTGGGCGGCGACCAACCTTCATTGTCTTAGTCGCCGAGCCGCCCTCACGGCCGGCTGGCATGTCGCGGGGACGAGGTGTCCGATGTTTGCCTCCTCGATCCCGCCTGCGGCACGCGCTGCCCAGAAGTGCTCCATCATCAGGTGACCCAGGCGAAATACGTCGCCGTGGATCGAACTCAACTCGGACAGAAGCTCTGTCTTTTGTCCGTATCGCTTTAGACTCTTTACTGAGGCCCAGCGGCCCCTGAACTGAACGTGGAGAGTATCTCTCCGACGGCTGAGCAGATCGTCGGAGGCCCCACCCTGCCTGAGGCAGCACAAATGGGCCGACACCTGAGGCCGGTTGTACTTGGGCCGCTAGGCCGCGACCGTGAACGACCACAGGCTGGAGTCGGAGCTCGTCGTCGATCTCAGGTACTCCAGCGCGGGGACCAACCACAGATCGAGATCGATCAATACAGTCTCGTCGCGAAGCCCTGTCTTCCCAGGAACCAGCGACCCCGCATCGTGAAGGAATAGGCCCCAGTGACGATACTGAAGTCCAGCCGCTGGCGACGGAGGGATGAGGCTCCGTCCATGCAACTTGAACGTCTCCCCGGGCCTGAGGTACGCCACGAACGACAGGGCGACCCAGACAGCCATCCAGGGCGCCCCCGCCTCCACCAGCAGCAGGCGCGCAGCTTGGACCACCGCCTTCGGCAACGGCAGCCGCGTTCGACGCTTCCACGCGATCGAGGCGCGGGTCGCTCGCGGCCGCTGCGACTTCCACGCGCCTCGCAGGCTCGGGGAGAGGTGGGCCAGGCTCGCCGGCAGCTGAGTCTCGATCGGATGAGACCCCCTGCTGGAAGCAATCGTTCAGGTACAGGGCGAGGACCACGTCCATCTCTTCCACGCTGCACCAGTCGAGTCCTCGCTTGGTGCAGTGCTCCAGGAAGGCGGACGCCGTTTTCTTGTAGAGCACCTCCGTCGCCGGGCGGATCGCAATCTGCTCGAGGACCGTCGGCGACCCCGCAGGCTCCCTCCCGGCGGTCGGGCGCTGGGCGGCAGCCGCGCGCGTCTCGCGCCGGGCCTTCGCCTCGGGCCGCCCTCGCCTCGGAGCAGCCCGCGGCGCCCTCGCCGGCTGGCGGGCGGCGCGAGGCACGGCGGCCTGAGAACCGACCGAGACGGCCGCGGGAAAGAGCATCAGGCGGATTCCTCTCGCTTGGGATCCACCGAAAGTGGAGGCGACATCCCGAGGCTAAAGGTAAGGAAGCAATCTTCAACATCACCGACTGGAGGTGCGCGGGCTTCGCTCGGCCCTTACAGCAGGCCAACGCTAGACACATGCCATCGACGAGGGCGACCACGCGTCGCCCTGCGGCAGCACCAGCGCGCAGGATATGCTTGTAGGCCACCGCGAGGGCCTCCCCCTCCAGCTGCATGATATCAACGCCGTGCCCAACCTGGACGGCCAAGACATCCCTCCAGTCCTGGGGCTTCATGAGGTCCGCGGGGATCTCCTCGATGAGCAGGGGGTCCACGTCCGCGAACCCTCGGGGCGCGTCCTCTGGCGGGTAAGCGGCAGCCTCCGCGTCGGCGAAGTCCCGAGAGCCCCCGGGGCACCCAGACTCCCGAAGAGCGTTCAGACGAGCCTTCTCGGCGCCATCGACACGATACCCCGCCCTCTCAAAGACTCTGCCAAATTCTGCGACTTCATCAGCGCGAAGACTACGATGACAAACTCCCAAGCCGAACTCAGAGGCGTCCGAAGCACAGATCTGTTCATGCCACCCCGCGCACATATCGGTCGTGAGGAGGGAGAATAGAAACGATCCTACGAAGCTCTAGCGCCACCTGAGGCCAGAGTGGGGCCACCGCATCTTCAGCCGTCGACAAACGCATAACTGGCATTCAGCATGGCGAGGGCCTCGCGACGGACCATCGAAGACCACGTCACGTGCATGATAAGAATCCTAAGCAGGACGCCGCTGGCTGATCCCCCGGCCAAGGCGCGCTCGATCGCGGAACGCAAGCGCCAGAGATTCCGAGGCTTGACGGGCAACCAGCGGCCGGCAACGAGGGAAAGACCTAGAAAGGAGGCATCTGACGAAGGCCCGCACTCTTCATGCACGGGAAGACCAACATACCTGAGCCTAACATTGATGCGATCAAACGCAGTCTGCACATTCTGACTCGACTGGCCTAGCACAAGGAAGATATCAACATATCCTGCCGCGGCGGTGTCATCCGCCGTCCTGGGCGCAACTCTGGCCCCCCCGTCCGAGATGACGCGACGCGGACTGAAACCAGCCTCATGGATCGCGTTTCGCATCGCGGCCCGACAAGAATGGAGAGCCCAAGAGAAGCCCATAGGCGTGAGAGTGATAAGCGGAAGGAGGGGCTGACCAGGCACGGACGGAACCCCATCTAATCCGAATGCAGAGAGCAAGCCTGAATCAATCGGTGGCAAAAAGAACCGCTCGACCATCTCTGGCGGGGCACGCGCGTGATAGAAGGCGCGCTGGACATCGCCCGATGCCACGAGACACGGACCCCCCCCTGCTTTCGATGGCGGAGAAGGCGGAAGCATAAGGGGGGCGGGTAGAGGGGGGGAGAATGAAAATAACAATTGGCAGCTCTAGCGTCGAAGATGAGACGCAACGGATTCGACTTCTTGGCAACGCGAAACGCTCCGAGCAGACCCTTCCGCCCCCCCGCGGGCTGGAACGTCGACATCCCACGACGGGCAAGGCAGGCTAAGACATCGGCGTATGTAGTGGGAGAGTGGGAAAGGACAGGGTCGATATAGGCTCCTTTGGGACAAGCCTCCTGCACCGAAACCTGGGCCACTGAAGCTGGCCCCAGCACGTGCGATCTCCAGTTATTAAGCCAGAGAGCATCTGTCTGAGAGAGCAAACAGCGCAGGTCCACAGGGGCCGTGCCCTCGGCAGGCCACGCGACTAGATCGCGAGAGTAAGGGCGGGCGGGGCCCGCATCCCCATTTAGCGAATGATTGCTCAGGAGCTCGCCGAGGGCTCCCAGAGCGAAACCAGCCTCGCTGGGAGGAGGGCCGAGACGACAGGAGCGCTCGCTGGAACGGTCAAGTACCTTTTTCTGTGACAGAGAGGGCGGTGCAACGGCAGCCTCTTCATATCCTGACATCTGGTTAAGCGCCTGCGCTGCGTCGCTAGCCCGGCGAACTGAATGCTGCAGGCGCCGGCGGCGGCGACAGGCGACGCGGCTCGCGCCGGGAGGGGCGCTGGCCGGGACGTCAAGCAACGGAGGCGGGAAGATGTCGCGCTGCCTGTAGTCGCCGAGAGAACGGGGATCCAAAAAGTCCCTCGAGCCCAGGTCCCCCTCCTGTGTTCGGGGGCATGTCACTTGTCACCAGCGGGCCCATCGCCTTTCTTGCCGCCACTCTTGGCGCCTTTCTTGGCTAGGGGCCCGCTCCTCGCGCGCCTTGCGGCGCCCCTTGCCGATCTGATATTCCTTGGACAACTGGTCTCTCGCATAATCTGCAAGCTGGGGGCTCACGCATGCACAGCCTCGAACCATGTCGGTGCCCATGTAGAGATGGTTGTCAGCGACGCTCTCCGAGCCCCCAGCCAGACGATCACGGTAGCGTTCCTTTTGAAACTGAATCACGCGGCACAGGGATTCAGCACTTGCCAAATTGGTGACCATCAGCTGGTCGTACAGCACCATCTGCTCCAACATGCGGCAATCCCTCTCGTGTTCGTCAACCCCAACATCTGATGAAGAGAGTTTAGCCTCCGTCCTGAACCTCATGTGCCTTCACATGGGGCTCCCGCCGTCCTGTTTGAAAAATCGCAGCACCCACGTCGCAGGGCATGGACCGCGCATGGGCCAGTCTGGCCACGCGTCCTCGCGCATCAGGAGGATGGCGCCCCTGAAGGCGCCATGGCGGTTCCTCATCGTGTCGAGCGCGGCGGGCTGCACACGAGCATCGCCAACGCCCATATGCGCCGCGGGAGCAGGGGCGGCACCGGGGATCGGGGCCGCGGCGGCCGCGCCTGCCAGAGCGGGAAAGGCAGCGGCGGCGGCCGCGGGGGCGCCCGCGAGGGCCAAAGGGCCCGCGGGGGCCACGGCGTGTGCGACACCAGCCACAGGCGCAGGCGGCGCTGCAGCTGGAGGCACAAGGCCCCCCCCCGGTCCGATGAGGGCGGCTGCGCCCAAGGCTGGAGCAACCAAGGGGGCAAGCCCTCCACCCGGTGCTAGGCCAGCGGCCACGCCACCTGCTCTACCGCCTGTTTCAAGCGCACCTCCAAGCGCTGCGGGCGCGGGTGCTGCCAGGGCCGCAGCTAGGCCAGCTACGCCTCCAGCCGCGCCGTCTCCAGCTGCTCCGACTCCTGCGATGGCTGCCGCAGGCGTGCCAGCGAGGCCAGCCCGACCCACGATGTTCGCGGCGAACCCAGGCCTCATCGGAAGGCCCAAACGCGTCGCCGCAGCATCACGGAGCCCTTGAAGCACAGCAGGGAGCGGGACATGCCGAAAACTGTGAACGTGATCACCAGCGATGGCGGCCGCATCCCGTCCGAGGGCCCCGCCCTCCAGGATCGCGAACTCCTGGATGTCGCCTCCTGCTGACCTTCCTCATACTGATCATCGTCGGGCGTAAGGATGCTGATGGAGGGCTGAGCCCCTGGAGGGATGACCAGCACGATCCGCTCGTGCCAGATCCAAGGCCCCGCTACTCCGTACCGCACAGCCAGCACGTCGCCTTCCTGCAGGCCAAGATGGCGAAGAGGGTTTGCCATGGTGCTCAGGTGCGAGAGCCCAAGCTGCGCGACCGAAACCGAGCGGCCTGCTCACGGGCCAGGTCCTCGATCGAGCCGTGGATCACCTCGACCGCCGTCGATGCGCAGTGGATCTCGGCGGGGCGCTGCCAGCCCACCAGGAAGCCACCAAGACCAGCGGCCGCCGCCACCAGCACGAGGAGCGTCCACGGGAAGCTGCAGTAGCACTCCTCCCGCAAGAGCTCCTTCGCCGACTCCCCTGGCCCGCACACCAACTGCGGGGAGCAGTGGCAGTCGGGACAGGCGGGTGGCGGACGCGAAAGACCCCAGACCACCGCCGCGGTGTGGAAGCCCGCGCGCCTTCGGCCGCCAGCGCCTGGGCCAGCGCCTGCATGCGCGCGCGAAGGCGATGAGGTGACCGCCCCCTCAAGAGCTTGAGCCGTGTGCAGCGGATCGTACACGCGAAGCGTAAGGTATCACATGCGGCATCCTTGCGACCATCCCTCAAGTGCTTACAGATCTAAGCTCAAACACACACATACACATATATATATATGTGCACCTACCTACCTGCCTACCTACTTTCCTACCTACCTACCAACCTACCTACCTACGTGCATACCCGCCTACCGACCTACCTTCCTACGTACCTACCTACCGACTCACATACCCACCTACCTACCGACCTACCTCCCTACCTGCATACATGCATTCACACATACATACACACATGCACACATGCATGCATACATGCATACATACACACATACATACATACACACATACACTCAAACCCGCAAACACATACACACATACACACATCCATCAATCCATCCATCCATTCATTCGTCCATCCATGCATACTTACGTACATACATACACACATACATACATGCACACAAACAAACACACATGCATATATTCATGTACATATATATATATATATAGATTCACTTATACGACCATTATTCGAGTGATAACGAGGTTGGGTGGTGGTGGGGACAGACCCAACAGCTGGCCAATGCGATTGGTGTGATGATGACGATGCTGGTGACGGTCCCTCGCGTTAGCGGCGACGCGTGATGACGATGCTGGTTGCGCTGCGATGTAATGCCGCAATCGTCCCCGCTTTCGATCTCGTTCGATCGATCCACTATCGACCTCGCGGCCATTCCTAGCACCAGTGGGTTCAGCGATCGATCCCACGATCGATCCCACCAGCGATCTCACTATCGATTCCTATCGATCGATCTAACGATCGACGATCTCACTATCGATCTCACATCCGATGTCACAACCAACCTCACTGCCGATCCCACTCTCGATCTCACGATCCGTCCCATTGCAGCG